CTCACTTCACTCTCTCTCTCTCTTTCTCTCTCTCTCTCTCTCACTCGTCCGAGTGCAGTAACATATTTTTTTCTATCGGATTTATATTAGAATGTGTATTTAACATAATACGCTTTACAAAATTGTTCTTAAAATTCATAGTAGTCATTGCTGTCTACATTTTCAAACTTTATATACACACATGCTATTGACAGTATACAAAATGTTAGAAATTAATTGAGACACCGTGTGTTTGAGAAAAGTTTCCAGATATTCCTAATGACTATCAAAAACGAAAATAATCTTCGTGTTCATGGTTTACTTCCGTGATCTCTGGATACAGAATGATCTAGAATTACATTTAACGCATTTCCATTGTAAAATATAAGCATTGCAAAATATAAATAAATAAAGTAAAATAAGCACAATAGACACGAGGTGGGCCTCTCGTAACGAATTTTAGGTTAGTTTTTAGGTTTGGACGGCCAGACTTTAAACGATGCCGTAAAAGAGCAGAACGCCTCGTCCAAGCGGTGGAAAAAAATTTAACGCGTTGGTACTTTCCTTACTCTCGTATGTATGTGGGTATCTGTATGCTGGTATCTGTATGCTTCTATCCACATTTCTATAATATCGATCCACAAGTCAATGAAATATGCACTATACCTCGATCGTAAATCAGTTGTTTACCTAGCAGCTTGCTCACCTCTGACGTCACTTCTTAGGCATGCCTGGCGACCACGCCTGAGCTGCCAGGTATACAAGCACTACCGAAAAAATACGATTTAGCCACCAAGAGCACCAAGATTATGATAAATTTATAGCCATGTTAGAAATAACTTTGATAAAAATAAAAGGATTATTTGTATGTTTGCTACCCTTGTCATGGCTGTGAGTTGTTGACGTTTTCTGGATTCCCTTGCAAAGCAGTGGTTCTCAACCTGGGGGTGCCCCCCCCCTAGGGGGACTTCAATATTTTCCAAAGGGGGCGCGAGCCCCTGGAAAACAGGCAGTAATTTCTCAAGTTATCATATAATTTTTAACACTTATAATTTTCTTTAAAATCTGGGAGGGAATTTTATTTACAGATGCAAGGGAGGCGTGGAGGGAAGGACACATTCCTAAAGGGAGCGTGGTAGTTAAAAGGTTAAGAACCACTGTTCTAAAGCATACATACATTTACCTCCGTAACAGGTAGGTTATGCAAGTTACAGATGCTGGAAGTTTGAATATTTTTCCCTAAAATATTCCTAAAATAACCTGGTTATTATAACATTCAAATAAGTAAATATTACCTGCACATTAACCATGATAATAGATACTAAGGCAGTAGTTCTCAACTCGTTTCAAACTTTAGACCACCAGCCAAATTAAAACAATATTGTGGAAAATATTTTTTTTTTTGGTAAAATTGAGCATATACAGTAAACATTTTAGTTTGAGATGTATGTATTTCAAAAAAGAATTTCGAGAAGTTAGTATTGTGATCTCAAATATTTTCCTACAAATATAGATTCCTGGAATTATATCTTGAATTACTTAAGAGTATACAATTAAAATCATGATTCTAAATCAAATCAATTATTTTTTCCTTGCATGATGTTAGGAGTGGTACTTGGCAATGCACAATGCATACCACTCGACAGTCGATCACCGAGAACACCTGTTGAGAATCACTGTACATAGGAAACCTTTTCTGTTAGAGAAAAAAATAAATCTGTTTAAGGATATGATTAATTACTTCTCCTTATCCTACTCAGATTTGCTGAAAATAATATGTATAAACTTAAATGGCATAGCATTAGAAATATAAGAATAAAACAATATAATTCCCTAAACTGTATTTTTTGTTACATTACATAGTGGTATTCCTTAGTAACTGTCTCGTTCTTTATGATTCGCTGCATCACTAATTTTAGTTAGTCCTGGTTTTGATGTCCCCGTCCTTTTCTTTTATATTGAGCATTAATTATCTATGAGGGTCCATTCCCATGTGACAAGTCTTGGGATCTTTTCGTCCCCAGTCATGGAAGAAACTGAATTCAAAAACTACATATTCGTTACAAGGATAAAACTACACGAATATAAAATTTTGAATTGGATCACTAGCATTTTTTTTCTATCAAGAGCATACTAAAATGGTAAACTATAATTACAGGAATGAATTGACTGCACTGACTCGAATGCAGCGTTTACCACAAAAAGTTTTATCAGTTATTTGTGATAATGCAGTATAATGTAGTTGAATTTTAAAGTGTTTTCATTAGAAAAATAGTTACTAGTCAGGACTTCGGCCTCGCTCTGTATGCCAATGATGTGATGATTTTTTTTTACACACAAGAACGAGCTATATATATATATATATATATATATATATATATATATATATATATATATATATATATATATATATATGCGTGTGTGTGTGTATGTATACATACATAAATATATTCATACACACACACACACACACACACACACATATGTATATACATATATATATATATATATATATATATATATATATATATATATATATATATATATATATATATATATGTATGTATATATATATATATATATATATATATATATATATATATATGTATATATATATATATATATATATATATATATATATATATATATATGCGTGTGTGTGTGTATGTATACATACATAAATACACACACACACACACACACACACACACACACACACACACACACACACACACACACACACACACACACACACACACGCACGCACTCTGGCTCCTGAACTGCAGGATTGGGAGTTCTGGTATCTAACTCCTTCCATTTAAGCAATCTGTGCTTTTGGCCAGATGTGCCTGGTGGTAGATCAACTACAGTGGCAAAGTTCTTCCGTGATTTTAGTTGACATGGCACTGGTCTGACGTTGGGGGGGGGGGGGGTGCTATCCCAGCAAGCCTATAAAGGATGTTGGTAGGTGTAGGGCGCAGTGTGCCTGTGATGGTCCTGCATGCTTCATTGAGCATAGGGTCAATTTTGTCAGCATGTGCTGATCTGCTCCATACAGGTGAACAGTACTCGGCAGGTGCGTAACAAAGAGCCAGGGCAGATGTTCTCAAAGTGGTAGCATTTGCTCCCCAATTTGTACCTACTTTTTTCAGTAGGGCATTTCGGGAACTTATTTAACCTCTGAGTTTGTTCATATGAGAGGCAAAAGAGAGAGTGTTCTGTCCAGTGTCACCCCTAAGTACACTGGATTCTGGTGGTGTTCCATTACTTCCCCACACCACTCTACTTTGAGCTTCCGGTTGGCTTTTTTTGATTTTTAATGAAAGTGGAAAGCACACATCTAGGTTTTTGATGGAATGGGATTCAGGGACTATTTTTAATAGTAATGTTTAATTAAGTAAAGGTTTGATGTTACTTTTGACTCAATTTCCTCAAAGTTATGGGCCTGTGTGGCTAGGCACAAGTCGTCTGCGTAGATAAATCTACGTACAGCTTGGGCCGATGATCATTTGTATAAATGTTAGAGAGCAGGGGGGCAAGGACTGATCCCTGGGGTAGGTCATTTCTTTGAGTCCTCCATCTCCGTTTGACCCCATTCATTTCCACATAGAATCTGCGGTTTTCCAAGAGGCTTCTAATGGTATTGGCTAGGGTCCTGTTCTTAACCCATTCGCGCCGGGTAAAAATGAACAAAAAATGGGGGAAATGCTGTGTTCATTTTTTATATTTTTTTAATGAAATTTCTCTACAATAGATGGCTCTGCTTTACCGGATTTCATTTGGCGGGAAAATGTATTTTTACTAGTGCTATGAATATCGATGGTTATTTTTATTATAAACATTATAATTTCTCTAATGTTATAAACATTAGTAACAGGAAAATAAGATAACGCAAAATAATTTCGTAAATTAAATAAAAGGGTAAACAGACGAGACAGGCAGTACAAGTGCAAGTGGAGCCATCTATGTTTGTAAACAATGAAACAAGTAAACTCAAAGTAGGCCTGTCACGTATACGTGACGCCCGGCGCGAATGGGTTAAGCATGGTGGAAAGCCTTAGTAACAGACCCCTATGGTTCACAGTGCCATAGGCTGCTGTTAAATCTACGAACACTGTCCCAGTGATTTGCCGCAGTTCAAAACCATTCTTGATGTACTGAGTTAAGTTAAGGACCTGGCCACAACAGGAGCGTCCAGATCTGAACCCAGCTTGGTCAGGGGTTAGTAAGTTATCAACTGTTCATGATATTCTGTTTAAAATGAGTCTTTCATAGAGTTTGCAGCATGTGCAGAGTAGTGATATGGGTCTATAGCTTTTTGGGTTAATGGGGTCTTTATTGGGTTTTAGAAGGGCAACTACTTTAGCTCTTTTCCACTTTGCTGGATTTTTTTGTTGAGTTGAATAGACATAGAAGCCATTCCTGGGTTCTTGGTCCTAGGTTCTTAATAAATTCATTGGGAATCCCGTCTATTCCTGCAGCCTTGTCACACTTGAGCTGTTTTATCTCCTTATTAAGCTCTTCTAAGGTGAAGGGTGGGAAGGTATCAGACCCATTAGAAAGAGCTTCCTCCATTTGTTTCTGTTGGATTTTCTTTTGTTGCTGTTCTTTATTGCTGGGCCGCCCATTTACTATAAGCTGATGAGCTACCTGGTTTGGTGTTACAGCAGCTAATCTCTGTGGAGGTTTGTTTTGAGTATTTAGCTTGCGGATGGTTGGCACGCTTTCTTGCTGTTATGGGTCATGTCAGTGTTATCAATGAGGGATTGCCACAGGTCTTGCCTCTCTTGACATAAGGTTGTGAGGACCAGCTCCCCTGTTGCAATTGTTGCCTCATTGAAAGGATCTTCTTTATATAAGGAGGTATACTCTTCCAATATCTCTTTAGCTTGGTCCGTTAACCCAGAAATATATTCAGTTCTACAACCTCTTGGGATGATGTTCTGCTGACCAACCTTCCATAAAAGTTTAACAAATTTATCGTAGTTGTTGGATTCTGGTGCAATTGCGATGATTTGTGT